AATTATTTTAAATAGTAAAAAGAAATTATTTTCAAAATAAAAAAAGAAATTTAATAGTACAAAAAATTAATTCCAAAACAAAAAAGAAATTATTTTAGTTGTAAAAAGAACGTGAAATTAATTTTTATTTTCAAAAAATAATAATTAAATCTTAATTATTTAATTTTCAATTTGATATTAATTGCATGTGAAATGAATAAATATCTCGGGCATATATTTTGCAATATTATGCGAGTTTAATCGGGACAAATTATTTTAATCGTTGACATCAATGAAATTAGCATTTTAAATGACATTCACTCATCATCATTGAATCGTGTTTGGAATTTCATTTACCAAGAGCCTTTTAAATATAATTCATTCATTATTGTTGACAATGAACAATAAAAAAAAAGAATTTTTTTTTTTTGCTCAACTTTCACGTTTCTTCCGTAAAAGTCTGAATAATGACTTATTCTCCTTATTTTGCTCACAAGTTATTCCCGCACCTATCAGTAAAATGTAGATTAAAAAAAAAAACGTTTTTCTCACATTCTCGTCGTTTTAAAAGAAAAATTGTTTAACTGCGTTTTTATTAGAAAATTTCCCACTATTATTTGTTTTATTACAAAGAATTTTCATAATTCACACTACTTAGATTATTCGAAAAGAATTTTTATAGTAGTAAAAAAAAAAATAGAATAAGTAAATAAAATAATAAAATATAAAATAAATAAATAAAATAATAAAATGGATAATAAACAAATAAAATAATAAAATAATAAAATATATAATAAATAATAATAAAAATAATAAAAAAATTTCCGAATAATAGAAAATTAAATAAAATTGAATTTGGAATTAAAAAGAAATTAGAAAATAAAATAAATGAATAAAAAATTAATTTCCAAAAAAATGAAATTTATTATTTATTAATTTATTTTATATGTGAAAAAATGGAATATAATTAAAAAATGTATATAATAATGTGTTAAATATGAGAATAATAATTTTAAGTAGGAAGTATCATTTTACCTTTAACAAGTGCTTCTTGCGTGTTTCGGTGGATTAGAAAAGTTCTCGACTATCTGCTTTTTGCTCTCTCTCTCTCTCTCCTCGCATTCATGAAGCTTAAAATTATTACTATTCTGTCTCTCTTTCATTATCATTTGATCAAATTCTTAATATATATAAATTACCAGTGCGTGTTAAAAGCTTGCTCTTCCCCCACCCCTCCATTTTTTTTAAAAGCTCAAAACGATTAGATTTGATTTAACGAGAGTAAAAATTCTGTCGTGCGTGGAATTCACGCTTCGTTTATACTTATTTTTTTTATATATTCCTGTTTATAAGGAATTTCAGGTGATCGAGGTGAAAAAATTTCTTTTTCTCCAATTTGTGTTCAAATTTGTATAATTTGCAGTTCTATTGAATTTTATTTTGATTTTCATTTCTTTTTGGCCAAAAAAAATTTTTTATTTTTTTTGTTTCAATAATCCATTTTATTGGAAACCTATTTTTCCATAAATAATTTTTCTGAAAATTATTTTTTCTAGTAAAAAAATTATTACCTATTATTTTTTTGGAAATTTTTTCAAAATAATTTTTTTTGATAATTATTTTTCCATAAATAAAAAATAATTACTATTTAGAAAAATTATTTTGGAAAAATGGTTTCCGAATAAATTTTTCTGAAAATAGTTTATCGTAGGTAAAAAATATTTATTATTATTGGAAACTTTTTTGAAAATTAATTTTTTTTTTTTAAATTATTAATTTTGGAAACTATTTATTCAAAATAATTTTTCCTTATAAAAAAAAAAAAAATTACTATTTTTGGAAACTATTTTTTCAACAAAATTTTTCCTAATAAAAAATAATTACTATTTTTGTAAACTATTTTCAAAAAATAATTTTTCGTAATAAAAAATATTTACATTGGAAACTTCTCTGAAAATTATTTTTCCTTGTAAAATTATTAATTTTGAAAACCTATTTTTCCTAATAAAAAAATAATTACTATTTTTGGAAACTATTTTTTTGAAAATTATTTTTCCATAAATAAATAATAATTACTATTTAAAAAAATTATTTTGAAAAAATGGTTTTCAAAATAATTTTTCTGAAAATTATTTTTCCTAATAAAAAATAATTACTATTTTTGAAAATTATTTTTTTGAAAATTATTTTTCCATAAATAAAAAATAATTACTATTTAGAAAAATTATTTTTCCTAATAAAAATAATTTTTTTTCCATCTTTAAATTAAGACATAAAAATATTTTTCCAATTTTAATAAAAAAGATATTGTAACCTTTTTTTTTCTATTTTTGGAAAAATTTGTATATTTTTGAAATTTAATTCTAAAAATAAATATCGAAAACAAGTTTCATTGAATTATGTTAGTTTTTGGTCAAAGGGAACGTGTATTTTTAACTATATATATATTCATTTTGAGAAGTAGAGTAATGAAAATTTCGTTTCTATTTATGGATCTATTGCAAGTTTTAATTACTTGAATTTACTTATTGAGATGACAAATTTTCACAATGACCATTTTTTGCAAATGAAATAAGTGATTTGTGATTCATTCAAGGATTGTGTAAAAGATTTAGAAACTCGTAAATAATTATTTATATTTGTAAAACTCCCTCTTGTTTCGAAAGGTGGATTTCGTTTTCGGTGTCAGTGTCAGAATTACATATATGGTTGTGGTTTACGAGATCAGTCAAGGGACCAGGATTTATTTTTATACTAATGCAATTTTATTCAACAAGGCCAAGTTTATACCGGTTGGCAAGGTTCTTTACCATAATGAGAAATATATTTCATTTTTGACCATGAATTCAATTAAAATCTCACCCTGTTAATTGAATTTTATTTTTTTTTTTTTACTTATCCTTTTCTTTGTTTTTTTCATATATATAAATTTCGTGATTTTAAATTTTGAACAGTCGAATCTTATTTTTCAGCGGATTTAAAAATTTTTTAATTTTCAAAATATTTTTTTTTATATTTTAAAAATTAGAAGAAAAAAAATTTTTTTGGAAGAAATTTTTTTTTTTATTTTACAAAATGGGGTGGCTTATAAAAATTTTAAAATGACTTAATAGTACGATTTATTTTTATTTTAGTTAAAATAAAATCGGAATAATAATTTTTTTTTTATTTCTTCGTTTATTTCGTAAATTGTCGAAAAAAAAGATTGTGTCACGAAGCGACGATTCTAAAAAGCACCACAGGGAAATTATTATGTGAAGCACGAAAAATCGCGTGCAAAGAGTTCAATGACGTTTTAGCCTCTGAAAATAGTAATTCCGATGCTAAATATAAAAATAAATTTGAAAAAAAAAATGAAAATAATTAGCATTTTTTTAAAAAATATTTTTTGTTAATAATTTTTAGATCTTTTTTAAATATTTTTTTTTAAAATATTATATTAAATATTTTTTGTTAATAATTTTTAAATCATTTTTAAATATTTTTTTTTTAAATATTATATTAAATATTTTTTATTTTTTTAAATTTATATAAATTAAGTATTTAAATTTTTTAATCCGTGAATTAAAAAAAATAGAAATTTTTTTTTTCGAAAATCAAATAGACTTTTTTTTAACTTGAGAATAATAATGAATTTTTTTTTTTTTTTTGGCATTTAATTAATAGGGCAAATAAAATTTATAAAGTTAATTTAGTCACAGACAGTTTTGCGTCATTTATGTAAAGTAACCCTTAGGAGGGGTTCGATGAACTCTTCTCTCTCTCTTCTTAAAACATCATTACTTCCGGTGTAGTCACTGCCGCGTATTCCAACAGACGCGGTGCAATCATCATTTTATTTAAAGCATCTCTATAAATAATTTATTCTAGGATTGTCCTATATGATTTTTATACTTTTTTTTTTTCTGTAACGAGGTCGTCAGGTTATTTATCACAGAATAAAATCCATTCTCGTTATTACAATTTGATTATAGATATTGTTTATAGTTTTTTCTATTCTACACGCTCTATATAAACAATTTTTATTGTTTTATTAATTTTTTATCCAAAGAATTTTTGGAAAAAAAAAAAATTCTTGTATTTAAATTACAAATTTTTTTTGGAATTAAATTTTTTTTTAATTATAAAATTATTTTTTTATTATAATAATAATTATTATTGTAATTTTGGAACAATTATTATTATTATATTATTTTTAATTATAATTATTATTATTATTATTAATATAGTAATTAATAATACTAATAATAATTATTATTTATAATTATAAAATATTTTTTTAGTTGTAAAAAAATCTTTTGTAAAATTATTTTCTTGGAAATTTCTATTTTTTTTTCTGCAAATGGTATTTTCTTTATATTCCTTTCTTTTGGAAATCGAAAGTATGGTTCGTTTGTTGGCTTTAAATTCTCCAATATTGTTGAATATATAATTTTTTTTCCTCGAAAAAATTGTAGTAGTTTGGCATGACAATTTTTTTTTTTTTTAATTAACGACCAAAGACTCTTCAAAATTAATTCTTTTGAATAGAAAATTAAAACGAAATTATTGAATGTAAAATATTTTTTCTAATAAATGTATGAAAAAATTCACAAACGTATTTTGGATTTTTGTAAATTTAGAATATAATTTTTTTTTTTCTTTAAGAAATAAAAAAATTAAAATACATATATTTTTTTAAATTTCGAAATAAAAGATTTTTGAATAAATTTTTCCTTTTTATATTGAGAAATAAAAAAATAATAAATAAAAAGTAAATATGAAAATAATAAATAATTATTTTTGTATTTATTTGTATAAAATTTTACACAGGGTAAAAGAAAATTGGTTTTTTTAGAAATAGAAAAGAATTGTAAAAATTTTTTTTTTTTGAAGAGTATTTGGTAGAGAGTTTAATATTTTTGGCAACTGACAATTGAAAAAAAAAAAAAAGTAAAAAAAAATGAACTAACAAAATTTTAACAATCCTTCTCTTTCTCTCCCCTTTTTTCTTTATTGATCGCTACACGCAAAAATGACAGCAAACATCAGACGAAGAGCAGCTCGGAACAGAGGACAACGACGACCTCCAAATCAGAGAGTTGGGATAAGACTGAAACCTCGAAACCAACGAGGTCTTCATTCGACTGTTTTAAAAGGTGACACATATTCATGCTGATCACAAAATTCCATATCAGCATCAGCACACTACGATCGTCATTATATTAGATTCTGATTTTTGCACCAATTTATCTCTTTCTGATATATATATATATATAGAACGTCTTGGTTTTTATGGAATACGATTTTTATAATATTTTTTTTCTTTTTTTTTTGAATTTTTTTTCTAGGTCCTTATTTCTCCTATCCTTTGCTTTATTCTTTTCTGCTTTGCTGCTTTTTTTTCTTTTTGTTCTACTAACAATATTTTATTTTATATTTTTTTTTTTTGTTTGATTAATATGTAACTAAAACCGAATTAGAAAATAAAAATAAATAAAAATAAATTTCAAAAATTTCTTTTCAATTTTCTAAATTAATTTTGTCATTTCTCGTATAATAAATTTTTTTTCTATTTTGAAATTACGATATTGAAGTTCGCAACGTTTATAATTAACGATTAGGAAATAAAATTATTTTTTTTAAATTGGAAAATTGTGAAAAATTTGATCTAAAAAAAATTTTTTTAATTTTTTTGAGCAATAAAAATTACGAGAAATATTTTTGAAGAAAAGTCATTGCATTTTTCAGCTAAAAAAAATTGTTAAAACGTGAATTTCAGATGAAATTAAAAAAAAAACTAAATAAATAAAATAAAAATAAGTGAAAATAAGCAAAAAATATTAAAATATCCTATTTTGAATGTTACTAAAAATTATTTGCAACATTAATTGTAGTAATAAGTAATTAATTTTTTTTTGCTTGGAATTATGTGATAAAAATTTATTTGATTCGTAATCAGAAATAATTAAATTAATTATTAATTAATAATCAATTTAATAATTGATTTTTGTAAATAATTTTTTTTTAATTGTTATAGGAAATTAGAAAAATAGCTTGTGAATTTGTATTGAAAAATAATTATCTTGGGTCACACGTATATAAAGCATGTCATTTGTTTTCTCATATATATATAGAAAAGTAGAAAATTAGTTTTTGGAAAAATATTTTTTTTTAGGATTGAATCATTCATTATTTGTCTATAGTTTTGTCTGTCGTAGTTGTCATATTTTCGTAGGTAGGATTTTTAATTTCGCAAAATTTAGGAAATCATCATGTATCAGGATTGTATATTGTGATTAACGATTTTCAAATCTGAAAGTCTTTATAGATTTTCTCTTTTTTTTTTTAGATGCGCCTTCTCGTTCTTCATTCTGTGTGTTGTTTTTTTTTAAATCTTCATCGATTTCAGTTTTTATCGCATTTCGTCTATTATATCAGGACATCAACATTTCATTTGGTTTTTTAGAAAATATTTTTTTTTTCCGACGATTTCTAGTTCAACTGCATGGAAAGTAATTGAAAATATTTTTTTATTTTCTGATAAATGTTTTTTTTTTCAATTTAAAAATTACAAATTTAAAAACAAAAAAATTTATTCAATATTATTGCATGAATGTAGTAAATTATTGAAAAAAAAAATTTTCTTCGAGATTAAATGTTATTTAAAAATACATTTTTTTTTGTTTTTATTTTTTGGGGTCTTTTTTTTGTATTTAATTTTTGGGACCTTTTTTGTTTTAGTTTTAATTATTTTTGAGGTATTTTTGTTTCGTCTTTAATTTTTGGGACATTTTAATGTTTTTTTTTTTAATTATTTTTGAGGTATTTTTGTTTTTTTAAAATTATTTTTGAGGTATTTTTGTTTCGTCTTTAATTTTTGGGACATTTTAATTTTTGTTTCGTTTTTAATTTTTGGTACATTTTTTTGTTTTGTTTCTAATTTTTGGGACATGTTTTTTCAGGTGGAAAAGTCGAAAAATATTTTTGGTTTTGATTTTTTGAATTATTGAAGACCAGTTTTCTGTATAATCATTTTCAGTTTTTTTTTTTTTTTTTTTTTATTTTTTTAGAATCATTTTAGTTTCTTTTTTGGGGATTTTTTTTTCTTTTTTTCAATTTTGGTCATTTTAGAGATTGTGATTCTAATTGAAAATTGAATTTTCGCAGCACCACAACGCAGAGTAACCAAAGTCAAAATGATTCGAACACCTGGTTGGATGGTTACAACAGTCCGCTAATTCAGGATGAGGGAAATAATAAAATGCTTAAACTCAGATTCGATGTCTCTCAATATACACCCGAGGAAATTGTCGTCAAAACTGTTGACAATAAATTGCTGGTGAGTAAATTGAAAAAATTTTATTTATAAAATTCTCGAAAAATTAAATTAAATTGAATAACAGAAAAAATTTAATTAAATTTAATAATAATAAAATTTAATTAAAATAATAAAAAAATTTTAATTAAACTAAATTTAAAAATTAAAAAAAATTAAATTTAATAATACAAAAAATTTAATTTAAATTTATTTATAAAGTAACATTTTTTTTTTAAGTAAAAAATTAGCTTTGCAAAAATTTGGTAAAACAAAATGAAAATTGGTTTCTTAATTGTTAATATTTTTTAAAAAAGTTTTCTATACTAAAATAATTCTGTCAATGAACTTGAAGGATAAAACAAGTGGATAAATCTGTAAAGAGACAGACTTAAGTCTCGAGAATTCTTATTCCTAGACTCGACCATGACAAGTGCGGTGACCTAAAAATCAGTCGTTAGTTTTAGAGGAGGGGGGGGGGATTTTTTCAATTGCGGAAAATAAGAATTTTATTAAATTATATTTTTTATAATTTTTATTCAATTTTTTTTTTTTGTTAATATTTTTGTGATTAAAAATTGACGATTAAAATAATTCAAAATTACTATTAATTAAAAAAGTATAATTGTTTGATATTTCTATAAAATTTAGTTTGATTTTTTATTTAATTTTTTTTTTTTTTCATAAAAAAATTCGGTTTTTTTTTTGTTAATAATTTTATGATTGAAAATTGTTGATTGAAATTAAAATTAAAATATGAATTAATAAGCAGAATTTTTGGATAATTATAAAAATTATAGAATACAAGTGAATTTATTAGAAAATTCAGCTTTTCATAGAGGATCCAAAATTCCTTGGGAGTATCGTGCGGTTTAACTTTCAAGGCACGTCGCGTCGTAGTTTGGAGAGAGTTGTCTTGCAGAAATAGCCAGCTCCAAAAATAAGCAACGGTCGTCGTCGTCGTCGTCGTCGTCACACCGACGAGTCGAAATAATGTTGGCATTGTAAGAACCTAAGAAACTCATGTTTTAGTCTCTTTCTCTAATTTACAAAATTTTCTAAAATTACAAAAAAAAAGAATATTCATTCTCTGGGAAAATTACATAAAATAAATTTCGAATAAAATAAAATTGCAAAGAGAAATTTTTTTCTGCTTTTTGAAATTATTGAATTATATTCAAAAAAATTTTTTTTTTAAATTCTCGTATTTGAAATATCGAAAATTTAGAAAGTTGAGTAGTTAAGTATTAAATTGGTAATTATTTTTCAATTTCTACGATCGTTTTCTATTTTCGCAAATATTTGAGAAAATGAGAAAAGTTTGTTTGAAATTATTATACGTGTCAAATACATTCAATGATGTTATGCAAGATGGACCAGATATAGCTTTGGTGCCAAGTTGTGCAACTTGAGGCAAAATATTGGAATGAATCACGCTAAATTTCTCGTTTATAGAGCGAGAGAGAGAGAGAAAAAAAAGAGACTTAGCCCTTCAAGAATTATAATTCTGTTTAGAAATTCCAGATTTTTTCAGTAAAAAACTAAAAAACTTTCATTCTTTTGAAATTATTTTACAATTCAATTTTTTCCTTGTTCCGTTTTTGAATATTTTTTTCAAATATACTGCAAACAAAATTTTACTATTAAAATATTTAGTATTCTACAAGAATTTTTTGTTTCGTTTTTAGTTAAATTTTTTACCAATTTTTTTGAATTTCTCTTTTTTTGTAGATTTTTCTTTCTTTTCATTATCGAAGCTATGAAGTTTCAAATTCCAAGGGATTTTCGAATTTTAATTAATATATTATAAGCATTATAGTGACAGAAGCTAAAAGTGTTCAAGGTCTGTGGGAATCAGGTCGATTTTCTCTTGGTCAGGCGAACCTTAAGGGGTCCCTTCGAGGTCAAATTTTCAAGTATCTCAAGTGAACTCTCTTCCAGTATTGTTGACGAGTCACGTTATTCCATCATCAAAATGACGTCATTTTTCTCTTTTCTATTTTTTTCCCCGCCTTTTGTTTTTTTTTTTTTAAATTTACAAAAAAAAATTTACAGAAATATTGCAAATTTTTATAATTTTCGAAAAAAAATTACAGAAAGAATTGTAAAATTTTTTTCACAATTACCGAAAAATTTACAGAATGTAAATTTTTTAACAATTTCCGAAAAAATTTACAGAAAGAATTGTAAATTGAAATAAGATTTTCCTTTTTTCGATTTTCTCTTTGACTTGAGAATTTATTTTTCCGCTTTTTTTTTTCAAAAAATAAATAAGATTGTCGTTTGAAAAATGTGGATATATTTATTTTTTGTTAATTAAAAAAAAAATATATATTTATATATGGTGATATATAGTTGTATGGAAAGGTGATACCAGAAAAGGTTAGATCGCGAGTTGAATTACAAGAGTTGCCATTCCATGTTCTTTCACTATTGCCGGGTTGGTCTATAAAACCTCCTTTCTGTCATCCAAGTTCTAGGATTACCTTTAACGAGTCACACGACGGTTCGCGTGATGATGCTTTTGGTCTTTTACGACCAACTTTGGGATCGATAATTGCTATTAAGGCGGAAATGAGTAACTCGAGTCGAACCCTGTAACTTATTCTTTCATTATAAAAAAAAAAGAAGAAGAACGAAAAATTATCCTTTACTCAAGTTGCTACACATAATTTCTCATTACGATACTCGAGATAATCAAATATGAAAAAAAAAATTATTTAAATTTGGAAAAAAAATTATTATTTAAATTTTGTTATAAAAATTATTATTTAAATTTTGTTATAAAAAATTATTATTTAAATTTTATTATAAAAAATTTTAATTTCAATTTTATTATAAAAATTATTATTTAAATTTTATTATAAAAATTTTAATTTAAAAATGTTTTTGAAATTCCAATTCAAAAATCAAATTTAATCAGTAAATTAATAATTGGATTTAATTATTATAATTTAATTGAAAGTTGAAAAAAAAAAAAATTATAAAAATTGTTTTGGTAAAAAAATCAATTTTTGTCTTTATATAAGAATGTTGACAAGAAAAATAAATTTATTTAAATTTGTAAGGGTGAAAATAATTGGGAATATAAAGTGACGGAGGCTCTTACTAATTAACCCGTTTACGTAATGTAATTAGGACCATAAGCCCCGCCTCAATTCACACGAACAAGAATCGTTTGCTTTATATCGTGGGTGCGGTCAAATATCCTGCACCTGTATTTTTTACTGTAAAGCCATTAAGATACGGTTGACAACTTGTTAGATAAAAACAATCTAAGTTCTCAAACCGGAAATTCATTTTTTTTTTCTCCAACTTTCATTTTTTTATTTCCCTCCTCTCAATTTTCTCTCTCTCTCTTGAAAATTAAAATATTTTTTGATAATTAATAAATTTGATTTTAAATCAATAGATGTATTGTTTAATAATTTTTTTTATTTTTTTTTTGATAAAAATTCTCGAATTAAAAATTTGGAAAGAAAAAATTTTTTTTTTTGAACTGTCGAAAAAAAAATACAGACGCCTACAATCCTTTGCCGAGCAATGAGAATACCGTCAAGGTTGAAAGCCAGTGGTCGAGGTTTCGTTTCTAAATATGTTGATGACTGAATAACCAGACGTTTATACACATTATGCTTACAAGGCGCAATTCACTATTAAAAAAAAAAAAAAGAAGAAAAAAAAGTTAATATTAGCGGTAATATCTTACCTGACTGCTCTTGTAAAAATATTTGCTTTAGACTCCGTAATTCTTTCAGAAAGTGTTTAAACATCAGACGAAGACTGTATTAATTTTTTTTTCGCTCCAGATGTTTTTCATATTTTTTTGAAATTTTTTACGTGAATCTGCGAAACAAAATAAAAAAAAGATAACAATAATATAATAAAATAAATTAATTCGATGAAAAATTATTTAATTAATTTAAAAAATTATTAAAATATAATTAAATAATTTATTAAAAAATAAAATGTATTTTTTTTTAAGAAAAAATAATTTAATGTAGTCGAGGGTCTTTAGAAAGTGGGTCAATGTGTATAATACAATGAGAATATTTACTATCCTTTTAAAGTAGAACACAAGGAAGAAATATAATTTCCCGTCTAGTTTGAAGGGTGAAAAGTATAATAAAGAATGGGAAAATTATGTCATTGTGGCGCCAGGAACTAAAATCTTTTATCAATATATTGTCTTAGTTTGCTTCTTTTTAAAAAACAAAAAAAAGAAAAAAAAAAAAAAAACTTTATAGATACCTATAGAAATAAAAATAATTTCTAAATAGGAAATGTTTTAAAGAAACAAAATATTGAATTTAAATTCGTCTTTCGAAATAATAAGTGGATTTATTTAAAATATAATTTACAAAATATTATTGCTTCTCGTGTTTTTAAAAATCTAAACTCGAGTTTCGTTCAACCTGTCACGACACCCACGTCTTTGTATTTTTTTTTTTTTTTTAACAAAATATTTATGAGCGGCTGTTTAAATACTCGATGTTGTAATTTCACATTCAAATCGAGTGAAATTTATTCTTGTCTTGTTAATTTTTTTTTTATGTTGATAAGCTTCCGAATGCTTTTTAACAAAGTCTAACAAAAAATTTATCACTCAATTAATTCTATTTTTTTTTAAATTTGTTATTTATAAACTTTTTTGTAATTAAAATTTTATTAAATAAATTTTTTTTGGTAATTCAAATTTTATTTATAAACTTTTTTGTAATAAAAATTTTATTTATTAACTTTTTTGTAGTAAAAATTTTATTTAATAAATTTTTTTGTAATTAAAATTTTTTTAATTTTATGAAACAAAAATTTGTTTCTTATTAAAAATAAAAATATAAAGAAATCGATTAACAGTTGGAGGAATTTTGTGAAACAAAAATTTTTTTTTAAATGAAAACAGTAAATTAAATGTAAAAAGAAAATAGTAAATAGAATAATAGTAGCGAAAGGTGAAATTAAGATAAAGAAAATTATTTTTCGATTTTCTTGAAGAGAGATTTTGGTTTTATCAAAAAAGAAAAAAATAAATTCTGTTGAAATTCAATTACTGACCTACTCTTATTAAATAGGAAAGTCCTACGCATGGTCAGACGCTTTATTTTACAGTGTGAGTCAGACACTGCAGACTTACAAATCGATCCTTTTCTTCTTTTAGCTTGGTGGTTTTTTTTTTTTTTTTTTTTTTTTTTCTTTTCTTTTTTTATTTATTCTCATGACTCTTGTTTCATATGAATAAAATTCAAATTGAGTCACACGATTGTCAAGATAATTTCCACCCACTTGATTAATTTTCAACCTCGATATTCAGAAAAAAAAAGATTTATTTTTTCCAAAGTAGAGATTTAAAAAAAAGATTTAAATTTTTTATCAATAATTAGCTAGAAAAATAGTAATTACATTTTTGGAAATTAAGTCAGAAAAAAAATTGTGCAAATTTTTTTTCTTGCAAAAAGAGAAAAAAAGAATTGAATTTTTTTCTAAAAAAGAAACAAAAAAAAAAACAGTTTTATCAAATTATTTAGAAAAATATTTATTTGTCTCGAGATAAATATTTAATTTTTTTTTTTTTGTAAATTTCCATAAATAGATATGGAATTTATTTAAGGCAAAGGTCATGAATGAAACGAGTCAAGTAAGAAACGATCGATTTTCGCTGGTCAAGCAAAAACTTGATCCAGAATTCTCTAGATTCCACAGATTTTATTTCTTTAAGTTAGAAAAAAAAAGAAAAAAAAAATCGAAATAGCGGTGGAAAATAATTTATAATAAAATAAAAATTTTTAATAGAGAAAATTCGAAAAATAGTAATTTAAAAATTATGAAATGACAAATATTCTGCCAATAAAAAAAATGTCACTAAAGGGCATTTTTTTTTTTTACAAATTTATAATCAAATAAATAATTTAGTTTTATTTTAATTTTTAATTATAATTCCGTTTCTTTTTTTTTTAAATTTTAATTCTGTTTCTTTTTTTTTTTAATTATTAATTACGATTGTTTTTTGTAAGTTTATTTATGAATTTTTTTTTTTTTTTTGTCTAGGTGCACGCCAAGCATGAGGAGAAATCTGAAACTAAATCAGTCTACAGAGAATACAACAGGGAATTCCTTCTTCCAAAAGGAACAAATCCTGAGAGCATTAAATCCTCGTTGAGCAAGGATGGTGTTCTCACTGTTGAAGCACCTTTGCCAGCAATTGGACAGGGAGAAAAACTCATCCCAATTGCGCACCAATAAATTATAAAATACATACGCCTAAATGATTGTTAAGTCACAATTTTGCTCCCCCACCCCCAAATTTTCCCTTCGAATCATTTTTTCTTCTCGATATAAATTTTTTTTTTCTCAATTAAAATAAATTTATCCAATACGTCCATTTTTACAAAATTATATTTTATCTTCGTTTCACTGAATTTTATTTTTAAAAGTCCAAAAATAATTATTTTTAATCAAATCAATGCCTATAATATTGTAAACAACGAAGAGACTTTTTTTTTATACGCGAAATACAGATGTTTAGCTTTTTTGTGTTAAGAATTATAAAATTATTGGAAGGAATGAGGAAAATTTGATTTAATTTCGCAAAATGATTTTTTTAAAACTATTTTTTTTTTGTCGAAAGGCGATTTTTTTTTCTGTAAGAAAAATAATTGTTGCTTTAAATACTTTTGACAAATGAGAAAATTAAGAAACAAAATTGAAACACGATTTCGAACTTGGGAAAATAAATAAATTAATTTGATATTTTTTTTTTTATCAAACCGAAATCAAATCTTGTAATTGTAACTTATATAGTTTAGGTCTACGTTAAAAGACTAAAAAAAAAAAAAAACAATGCCTAGCGTATGTAAGCATTATATAATTAATATTATTTATGAATATTTTAATACTTTCGAAAGAACGTAATATTTAAAGAAAATGGAGACAAATAAAATTGAATTTTAAAACGATATTTTTTTTTTGAATTTATTTCACATCCTTATTCCAGATTTTGAATTGAAAAAAACAATTAAAATTTTTTTAAAAAATAAATTATTTTTTAAAATATTAATAATATTTCTAAATATAGTTCAATTATTTTAAATACTTAAAATTCTTGGAAATTCAATTCCTAAAAAAAATTGCAATTAAAAAATTACAATTTGGAATTCAAATAAAATTAGATAAAAATTTGTTTATATTTTTCATATTATATTAAATAAAATTTGTAGGATACGGTAAAAAAAATGAAATTTTTTTTTATCACAGATTATTATTAATATTTTATTAAAATATCATATTTACAATTTTTTTGCTATAAAGTTTTGTTATTTTTTTTTGTACAGTTACATTTTAAGATGTTTCTGCACTTTCGAAAAAACATTTTATAAAATATATTAAAATTCATGTCATAATTTTATAACATTACGTAAAAATTTAATACACCCTATTTTTTTTTTGCAATAAATACAAATTTAGATATTAGTTTAAAATGTTAATTTATCAATTAACAAACATTTTTTTTTTTTTCGTGAAATTTTCGAAAATATAAATTACATCAGTCTTGGGTTATTTCGATTTAAAATATTTATTAATTAATATTTTTTTTTTTCAATATATGTTTCCTAAAACCCAAAACTAAATGAATTATTTACAAATTTATTTACATTTCTATATATAGAATTTCTATAAATTCTTGTAAAATAATTATAATAATAATAAAATTTAAATTAATTTTTTTTTTAAATTAAATTTTTTAAATTATTTTTGTTCATAATATGATTTTCTACTTCTTTGGAAGACGAAAATCGATAATTTTTTTTTGGGGGAAAAAAAAAAATTATAAAATTCCACCTCGTTCCTCATTCGCCGAATCTCAAATAGTTGGAATTTCAGCTGAAAATAATGGAGCATCAGTTCCACTAAACATTGGTGATTTACCTTCTCTTGCAATTCTTAATGCTTGTAAAATTGAAACAGTATCGAGTTCCTTTTGATTTGGTTTCTCATTATCTAAACAAATATCAGCCGCACGTTTTCCAAATGGTTCAAGAACTTTCACTCTATAATCGACAATTGTCGATACTGGATTTCCAGTTAATCGTAAATTCTCCAAACAAGGAAGATTACCAATAAATTTCACTTCCTCAATATTTTCAATTCTATTACAACTCACGTCCAATCCTTCTAAACAATAAAGTTTCGCAAAACTTGCCAATGATGTTAAATAATTTTGCGATAAATCCAATTGTACAATTTTACCTAATTTTATATGTAAATCCTCGGGTAATGAATGAAAATTATTTGAATTTAATGATAATTGTGATAAACGTGGTAATAGTGTAACATTAGAAATTTCCGTAAGTCTATTATTGTTTAATGTTAAAAATTCAATATGTGGCATTAATTTAATTGCCTCGTCAATTATTTCAATTTGATTGTTACTTAAATCTAAATTTATTATTTTTAACCATACATGTGAATCATTTGCGCTGTCAATATGTTTATGTACTTCTTCACACATTGCTAATTCAACGATATTTTTTAATTCTGTATTATGAATATTAAGAATTTTTACCGTATCGCGAAGTGTTCCCATATTATAAATTTTATCAACTGGAAAATTATTGATTGTTAAATTTTCCACATTTTTAAAATTTGTCAATTCAACATTCAATGATGATGGAAGAATATTACTTGTACCGTAATAAATCCAACTTCCTTGTATTATTAATGTTGTTAAATGAGAATTTAATTCGAGTACATGACTAAAGTCATATTTTTTGTCGACTACTTCCAATGATGGACAGGGATGTTTTAGTCTTTCACTGATTGCGTAAAGCTGCAAAAAAAAAAAAAATGTGACAAAATTGAATTTTCAAATATTTCAAACCAAATATATAACAAAGGCCTCGGATTAATTGGTTAATAAATATTTTACTTTAAATAACTTTAAATATTAAATTCATTTTATTAATTCTGTAATGAGAATAATTCTATAAAAAATATTGTCAAGAAAATTTTTATTTTAAATATTTCAGAATCGAACTAATTGTAAAACAAATTTTCAAAATTTTATTTAGGAAAAAATTTTTAAAGTTCCATTTTTATAATTTTTTCAAATTTGACTTCAGCAATTTATTTGAATTTTAAAATTTTGTCAAAGTTTTTAGTTTTGATGGTCAAAAAAAATTTCAGGCAATACTTAATTAAGTTTTACAAATTTTTAAATAATAATTTTGGAACAGTTAAAGTTGAAATTTTTTTGAAATCATTGAATTTCAATTTGTTAATTTTCAGACAATAATTAAATTTTACAGAACTAAAAATAATTTATCAAATATAATTTTAGACAACATTTTTTTTTTAAATAATTGAATTTTCAAAGATTTATAATTTAAATTTTTGTAATTAATTAAACTACACGTGATTTTTAATTAAAATTTTTTTTATGTTTTCACTAAATAATTTATTAGAAATTGCAGACAAAAATAACATAATTTTGAAAACCATTTTTAAGTGAAAAATGGTTTTAGATAGTTGAATTTTCGAAGAATATTATAAAAAAAATTTTTAAATAATTGAATTTCAGAAGAGTTATAATTGAAATAATTAAATTTCAAAATTTTTTAGAAATAATTAAATTTTAGAAGTTTTTAAATTGAATTTTTATAAATAATTGAATTTTAGAAGATTTTTAAATTGAAAGTTTTGAAAATAATTGAATTTCAAAAGATTGTGTTAAATTTCAGACAATAATTAAAATAAAAGAAATTTTTAGTGATTTCTTTTAATGAAGAATTTAATAGAAATCACATACAAAAATTGAATTTAAAAAGCATTTTATTAAACAATACTTTTAGATAATTGAATTTTTCAAGATTTTTATAAAAATTCCTAAAATAGTAAAAATAATTGGATTTTGAAAGAGTTATATTTTGTAGAAAAAAATTGAATTTAAAAAGATTTTTTTCAATTTTAGATAATAATTAAATGTTACAGAATTAAAAACAATTTATCAAATAATTTTAGATAACATACATACAATAATTGATTTTCAAGTTTTTAATATTTGTAAATTTTTTTTAGATAATTCAATTTGTCTGATTTTCAATTTTGATTTCAAAAAAAATTAAGTTTTCGACAAATTATAATTAAATTTTTTAAAAAATAGGGAATTTTTGCCTGATTTTTATTGAATTTTTTTTTTGTTTTCTAAAGTTTTCGATATATTATAATTAAAAAATTTTAGAAACTACTTAAATTTTTTTCCTGATTATCATTGAGATTTCTTTTAAAAAAGAAATTTTTGATTAATTATAATTAAAATTTTGTAAAATAATTTATGTTTTTATTAAATTATTTACTAATTTCAATAAAAATTTTAGACAATTCAATTTTTAATTAAATTGAACTGAAATTTTTTAAAATAATTGAATTTTTGGGATATTTATTGAAATTTTGGAAAATAATTGAATTTCAAGAGAGTTAATAATTGTAATTATTAAATTTCAAAAAACTTTAGATGGAAAATTTTAGAAATAATTAAATTCTAGAAGCTTTTAAATTGAAATTTTTGGAAATTTAGAAGAATTTCAAAAGATTGTGTTAAATTTCAGAAAATAATTATAAAAAGAGAAATTTTTAGTGATTTCTGTTGATAAATAATTTATTAGATATCATAAACAAAAAATTAAATTCCAAAAGTTTTTAATTGAAAAATGCTTTTAGATAATTGAATTTTCGTAGAATATTATAAAAATCATTGAAAATAATCGAAATTTTTGCAAATAATTAAATTTCAATTAGTTTTGAATTCAAAATTTTTGGTAATTTTATTTGCTAATTGAGGGAAAAGTTTGTTAATTCATTGAAATTAAGAAGATCTGAAAAAGATCTGCATTGTTAACAAAAAAATGTATTTTGTTTAAATTTTTTTTTTATTTTAAATGTAAAAAAAAGTCGAAAAAATCGCATTTTATTAAAATAAGTAAAATATTTCAGATTCGAAGACGTAAATTTTTAAAATTTTAATTAAGTAGGACAAATTTCTAAAATTTTAAATTTTAATTTAAATTTTCGAATTCAATTTTAAAGTTTTTGAATATTTAAAATTTTTTTTTTAAATAATTGAATTTTTAAAGAAATATTAAAATTATTAAAAATAATTGAAGTTTGGTAGAGTAATAGTTGAAAATTTTAGAAATAATTAAATAATAAATTAATAATTTAATAATAATTAATGTCAATAATTAAATTTCACTGAAATGAAAATAATTTATTAAATAATTTTAGATAACATTTTTTAAAAGTAATTGAATTTTTAAAGATTTAAAATTCAGATTTTTGAAATTAATTTAACTTTAAGTAATTTTTTATTGCAATTTTTGGTGATGAAGAATTTATTAGAAATTATTATCAAAAATTAAATTACAAAAGTTATTAATTGATAAATGCTTTCAAATAATTTAATTTTCGAAGAAAATTATAAAAATCATTAATAATTGAATTTCGTAAGAATTATAATAATTAAATTTATTAAATTTCAAATAGTTTTAGAAGGAAAATTTTAAAAATAATTAAATTGAAATTTTTGGCAATTTTATTTTCTGTTTTTTTTTAAATTATAAACAATTGTTGAAATTCAAAAAAATTTTAATTGAAAAATAGTTTAAGATAATTGAATATGTGAAGAATTTCATTAAAATTAATAAAAATAATTAATTTAGAGAAAAATTTGTCAAATAATTGAAATAAAGAAGATCTGAAGATTTGTATACTAAAAAGACGTATTTTATTTTAAGAAATTTGTAAAAAAAAAGTAAAAAAAATCGAGAAAGGTGTATTTTTGAAAAAAGTCGTATAATCCGTGCCCGCAATTTTAAAAAACATGAATTGAAGTTTTAGTTCTTAATTTAAAAATATTATTTTCTTTAATGACTTAAAATTAAATTTGTAGTTATAATAATTATTTTCAAATAACACAAAATTTATTTTAAAATAATAGTGTATTTTTTTTTTTTTTTACCTGAACGGGATTAAATGTATAACTTTTGGATGATTGCAGTAATAAATCGCCTTCGGTGAAAAATTGTAATGCCATATTTTGTAGTAAAAAGAAAATATCATAAACATGTAAATCGAGAAAAATTGCCAATTCCCGTGGCATTGCTTTTTTCAAATAATTATAAACAGCATTCAAATAAATTTCTAATCCAACTCTTCGTTTTTCAACAAATATTTCATTTTTATTTCCAATTAATTTCTTTGGCGGTAGAATATCTTTTTCTACACAATGCTCCGAAACTAGAATTTCATTAAGTTCAGCAAATTCACTATATCTAAAAATTAAATTATTTAAATTTATTTTTATTAATAAATAAAAACCTTTTTGTAAGGTTTTGAAAAAAGATTGTTTTTTTTTTTTTGAATGAAATCTTGATAACAATATTTATTTGTTTTTACCTGTGTTTTACGGTCCATTGAATAGTAGCGATTCTAACCTCAATTGTGTAAAAAGTAACATTGTCAACAGTTTCACTTGATGGAATTTTTATATGCATATCGTCTTGATTTAAAAGAAGACAAGCCATTGTTAATTTTTTTTTTACAAAATAAATAAATTTGATAAATTATTTAGTTTTATTACGATATATTTTGATATTCAGAGAATTTTACTATGTTTCGAAATATTTATTGACAAACTCCTCGTAATTCTTTTTCACCTTTAAACACTTTATCAGACATAACACTTTATTCGACCAATAAATATATATGTATTATCTATTAAAAAATGACATTTCTGATTGAAATTATCTTTTTGACAGTTCTCTTGACAAAAACACCCAAAATGATGAATTTTTCAATATGGCGGATGTTATGAATCCCTCACGTGGCAGAAATGTCAACTATAAATTCAAAACAATGTTATTAATTAAAATTTAAACTTTATTAAAATTAAATTGTCATTTAATATTTATAAATTATAGTCAAAAATGTAAATAACACGATGTTTTAAGACACTTTATATAATTTTAATTCAATATACGTCTGTATTTGATTCAAGCGGGTAAATATAAGGTTAGGTTAGATGAAAACGTGAAACGTCATTTTATACCGGAGTATTGTATATTCACTATTTGTGCAACAAAAACAAAATAAATATATAAATAAAAAAAAAAAAGTGAAAAACAAAGAGTGAGAAATTTTTGAAATATTGTTGTTATATTTTAAATTGTGAGATTTGGGACATATAATGCCACCAAAAAAGAAGCCGGAGGTAACCTCTTCGTTTTTTTTCTATTTTTGATAAATATATTAATTTTCTCATTTATTAATTTTTATATTTTTATAAAATAGGAGGCAGTTATATTTCTTGTTAACGTCGGTCAAGAAAGTAATGAAATTCTTGAAAATGAAACTCAAACATTTTTGGATAAAGCCAAAATAATTGTAAAACAAATTTTAGAACGTAAAGTAAGTTTTTATTTATTGTTACATTTATATATATGATGTAATCCACGCCAAAGTGTATAAGTCCATCTCCGATTTTTTTTTCTTTTAGTACTAATTGAGACTAGCTTCCATGAATTTTTTAAAAATTTTTTTCGAAAGCCGTTTTCGAGTTAGAGAATTTTCATGATTTTTAATTTTTGAATGCTCTTATAACTTCCTTAAAAAAGCATCAATTTTAAAAGTCTTTTTTTTATCAAAATGTGTGTTTTTAAACGTACTTTTCAAAAAAAAGCGATTTTTTTTTTTTTTTAAACGATATTACTATCAAATTTTTGAGTTTTAATGATAAAAAGTCATTTTTCTCATTTAACGTACTAAACAATTTTTTTCAAAATTTTTTCAAAAAAACTATTTCTTTTTACGAAACTTTTAAGCCTAGCCCAATAATGGGCAAACAATTTTTACAATATTTTTCGTAATTTTCTTCAAAAATTTTTGAATTTTGAATTTTTTAAAAATATTTTTGGTTTTTTTTTATATACTACGTACTTTTATGTATTTTGATGCGCTGATTATGAAAATCATAGTGACAATACCCAAAAAATTTTATTTTTATGGTGAAAACCATAAAAAATCCCAAAATTTATGGTTTTTTTTCGTTTATTGGGTAAAAAATGCATAAGATAAAAAAAATGTATTTTAATAAGATCTATAATTTTTGTTTGAAAGTTTTTTTTTAATTTTGCATATTTTACCCAATAAACGAAAAGAACCATAAATTTTGGGACTTTTTTTATGGTTTCAAATCAAATTCTATAACTCGAAAACAGCTTTCTAAAAAAATTTGAAAAAATTCATGGAAGCTTGTCTCAATTAGTACTAAAAGAAAAAAAAAATTTTTTTTAAATCGGAGATGTAATTGCAAATGGACTTTTACTTTGGCGTGAAATACATTATAATATAAAAAAAATTCATCAACAAATTTTTCAAAAAAAAGAAATAAATTCTAGATATTTCTTCGTAAAAAAGACAACGCTAATATAATATGTTTTGGCTCAAATGAAACTGATAATGAAGAAAATATGGAAAATATTTATCAATTTAAATCCGAATTAGAACATCCAAATTGGGAAATGGTGGAAAAAACTCTTCAACTTCAATCAACGAATCGTACATCAAGTTGGGTTGAAGGATTACATGTTGCGCTTCAATTCGCTAAAGAAAAATGCTCGTGAGCTATTTGAAAATTATTTCCCTTTTCTTTTTTTTTACAGAAAATAATAATTTATTTTGAAAATTTTAATTTTTTTAATTAAATTAGTAATGAATTTTTTTTTTTTTAGACTTGCAGAAGATGATGTTAAAGTAATAATTATCAACAACTTTAAAGAAAGTGAAGATGTAATTTTACAATTTAATGCAAGAGACGTTGCAGATGAAATTGTCAATTCAAAAGTTAAATTGATGTTTATGTAAGTTTTTTTAATTACTCGATACGTTTAACTTTTAATTAAAAAAAAAAAAATTCCATTTTTCAGTGGTTCTTCCGATTTTTTTGAAACGAGCACAAATAATTTAAATATAAGTCAACAACTTGCTGCAAAAGTTTATCGTTTTATTAAACAAACAGAAAATAATGATTTCTATGCTTATGATCAAATAGATAATTATTTATTGGAGACACGTTTTTATAAAAATCCACCAGTGAAACCAACTCCTTGGAAATGTCCTCTTGAAATTGGAAGTATTTCAATTTCTACATTAACATACGTCAAGGTAATTTTCTAAATAATTTTATTTCTATTTCTTTTTATTTTTTTTGTATTTGTAATTTAATTTTGTTAAATAAATATATTTTATAGGTAACAGAACCTGCTCCTTTTCCAAGTTGGAAATTAACAACACGAAGTGATTCCGTTGGATTTCCACCAGAAAGCGAAGTGGATGTTAAACGTACCACGGAATATGTCGATCGTTATAGAAATGTTACAGACGACGAAAATACTAATAAAGGTTATAAATACGGTGGTACTTTCATTCCTTTCACAGGTTTGTTTAAAAAAAAAGAATTTTTTATTTTATAAAATTGCAAATTTGAGTCGCAGACATTAATCCTTTTTTTCTTTTTTTTTCACCTGTTTTAATTATTTTTCTCCTTTTTCACTATTTTTTAAATCAAAAATGTAGAATTTTTTGGCAAATATTTCGAATTTTGTTTAAATAAGAAACGCCATTGGATATAAAAGTCATTAGAACTAATTTACAAATTTCAAATGGTAAACAAGATAAAAAATTAATTAATTAGAATGTGAATTTATTATAATTCTTATTATTGAAAACGATTAATTAAAATTATTTTTAGTAAATATTTCTTTTACCTTTTTTTTATTGGCAAGAATTTTTAATCACTCTAATTTATTTAATTTTTTTTTGTAGAGAAAAGATGATGTCTGGAATCAGTTTGTAAAAAATATTTTATTACCTAAATTTACAGTTAAAAAAAAATGTTTTTATCTTCAGATAACGATAAAGATAAGGCAAAATTTAAAGGAACTGTAAAATCTTTAATTGTTCGGGGTTTTGTCAAAGAAGAAGAAGTATCATTGGAACATTGGTTTGGAAAAGGGTCGCATATAATTGTTCCCGAAGATGTATGATAAAAATTAATTTTTACTCAGCTTTTTTTTTTATTTTTACTATTATTATTACTTTTATTATTATTTTTATTAATTAATTAAATTATTAATTAGTTTCATTAATTTTAACTTTTTTTCTGTTCTAGAATGCCGATTCGAAGAATAAATTTTATGCCTTAGTGGGTAACATGAAACATTTAGGTTTAGTGGCAATTGTCAGAAAAGTTTATCAGGCGAACAGTCAACCGAAAATGGGTATTTTATTTCCCCGCATTGAAGAAGGAGAAATTGCGGTAATTAAAAAAAAAAACAAATTAAAATAATTTTCTTTTTACATTTTTTTTTTGAGAAAGTGATTTAAAAATATGAATTTTACAAATTGACTGCTATTTATTTTAAAGATTGTTATTTTATATTTTTTCGATTTTAATTCTAGTGCCTCGTGCATGTTGGACTTCCGTTCATTGAGGAGCGACGTGTTTTAAAACCAAGAGAGGAATTAAATTTACTGAATGAGGAACAAGAAAAAGACATTGATGATTATATTGAGTCAATGACACTCCCGTAGGTATTTAAAAAAAAAAAAAAAAAAAAAAAAATGTAAAAAATTGAAAATTTCTAATTTTCACAGGAAAGACGATGAAAATTTTCAACCTGGAAGTTTTTGCAATCCTTTAAAACAACATAAATGGGATTATTTGTCCTATCGTGCATTGAATCGTGATCCATTGCCACCAATGGATCAATATTTAATGGATTTAATATCAACTCCTAAAAATCTTATTGAAAAAAGTGAACCAATTTTGGAAAAATTGTCACAATGGGTCAAGCCTAAGTAAATATGTTTTTTTAATTTTTATTTTAAAACCGTTGTTATTCAACTATTATTATTATTATTCAAAATTCTATTTTTTAGGCCCGTGGTTATTAAAAAAAAAGAAACATCTGATGAAAATGAGGAAAATGTTAATAAAGTCGTGAATGATGATATAAAAACCGAAGAAGAATTAATAAAAGCAGCTGAAGAGGCTGAAAAGGAAATAAAAAAGAAAGAGGATATTTTCAATGAAATTGTCGAATCAACAACAAATAATGACGATGATCTTGTAAGTTTTCTAATTTATTAAAAAATTAAATAATTTCATATTATATACGAAAAATTATTGAAAAAATTTGTTTATTTTTAACTTTTTCTTTATTTTAGTTCGACGATCTTTAATGGAATCATGGTTCACTGAAGAAATTGAATGTATACTTAATGTATTTAAAAAAAAAAAAAATGATTTCTATTTGAAATTGTTATAAATAAAATTTTTTATTTTCTAAAAATTCTTTTATTTTTTTTTTATAATTAAATTTTATCCTCTATTACTTGTATTTTCAATAATTATGAAGGAGAAATTTTAAAGAAAATTAATTTTTTTGTTAATAATAATTTTATTATTAAAGTTTTTTTTAACTTAAAACTTTTATATTTTTAAATTTAGAAAAGATATTTTTTTAAACAATTATTTTATAAATTTTTTTTTCAATTGTTAAAAATGTTTAAATAATATAAATTTAAAAAAAAACCTTAAAATAATAATAATAATATAAAATCATTTATTAATAATAATAATAATTAAACAATCATGTTCTAAAATTTTTGTCGATTAATAAAAATATGTAAATAATATAAATTAAAAAAATAACCTTAAATTGATTAAATAATAATAATTTAATAATAATTTATAATAATAGTAATTAAACAATAGTAAAATATAATTTTTTCATAATTGTATAATAAAAAATACCTGGGGCCCTTAAACGCCCATTTTCTCCAAAGTGGTACCGCTCCTGAAAGACCGTCGCGCCCCCCCCCCACACTCCCCTTGTCAACGACCATCTTTCTCCCTTTCTCCCGCGAACCTGTTGCCTCTTTGGATTGTGCTCGTTCGAAAAATAGTATTTCTTCATCCTCGCGCGCTTGTTGAATCTTTTTAGTGGTCGCGTGTCCGGCTTTTTTCAATGGATTAAAAAAAAAAATTACCAATCGAAAACCATCAAAATTCACGATAAATCGTCTTTCTAATCCGTTAGTTTTATCACTTTTTTTTTTTTAACTCCCAGAATTCCTTCGTCTCTTAGTTGTTATTTTCTTTTAAATTACCATATAGCTTATTCTTTCATTCTCTTTTGCACGGTAATTTTATATTAATGAGAAAAAAAGTAATAAAAGAAAAGAAAAAAGTGTATTTTGTGCTATTAAAGGTTAGGAAATTGTCCAGTGTGTGTGTGTGTTAGAAATTCCTTTTGGGTTTTGTGCAGTTTTATTTCCCATCGCGATTTTCAAGCTCTCTTATACGACGACGACATGTTCTGTGAAGTGAAGTGCTCCATTCGGGATAAAACGCCGACTTTATAATAGAAGAGAGCTGCGAAGATGGATTAACTTCGCGAGAAAAGCATCCCAGATTACATGCTCAAGTCAAAGGTCAGTCTTGTATAACCGAAAGGTCAAATCATTTTTGAATATATAAAAGGTTTTCTGCTTTCAATTTGTTTTTTTTTTCACCAAATGTAGATTTCTGTTTTATGGAATTTAAATTTAAATATTTACATTCTAACCTTAAAAAAAATTAATTTTTTGCAAAAACCGTTTTTATTTCTAACCTCAAATAAGAGAAAGTTCGTTATTTTTTTTGAAATAAACTTTTAAATTCCTTTTTTATTAAAAAATAACTATTTTTTGTATATATTTTAATTTTCTTTCTAATTATTCCGATATTAAAATTATATTTTCTATATATATACATGAATATGCAATATTTCCGCGGTGAAAAGATTTTAAAACGAACAGCTAAAATTTCTGACTATAAAGTTTTTAGTTATGTGAATAGTAATTTTCATAAATCTGCAAAGATGAATTTGAAATTAGAAGGAAATACAAAAAGGTCACAATAGCGACTTGTGAGCTCGATTATAGGAATGCGTTAAACGCCTACGCTTCCCACAGGATAGTATTATATATTTACAATATTCTTCCTTGTTGAATATCTCCAATATTTTTTTTTTTTTCTTCTTTCAAATTCCTCGGTGACAAACCGAACATAACTTTGAGATTAATCATCATTTTTTAGAAGAATTTGGAAATCTGTAAATGTTAAAAATATTTAATTTTATTTACGAATTTTAAAAGTGATTAAAATTTAATCGAAATTAAAAACAATTGAAAGCAGAAATTAGGGAATTGTTTTTAGTTACCGTTACTAAAGTAACGTTTTTTTTATCTGTCTTTTTTTAAATATTTTTATTCTTTAATTAAATTTTTTATTTATAAAAACGATAATTTAGAATTTTATAAATTTTTTTTTTTTTTGATTGAAATTGAATTTTTTTGCATTTTTAATGTTTCGCAGGGTCCATATTGTGAGATGATGCAGCAATGCTGTAAGGCTGATCTACCAAGCGGCAGCAGAAGCGGTAGAAGAGGTAAGGTGAGTGCCCGGTCTCTTCTCTCTTTGGAATGTTGCGTCTCTTATATATATATACAATACTCAGAAGACTTAAGTCCTTGCTCCAAGTTCCAACTGTCGGTTTACAGCTTGCGCGCGTAGAGAATAGAATATACGCAAATGGGTCCATGAATTATTTAATGAGTGCAGAAAACCGCAAATTAAAAACACCTCGCCTCTTTGGTGCAAAGAGTGCTTTATTATCTCGCGCATCTCTCCCTCTTTGTTTATCTCACTGTCAAGAATTTAAATTAGAACATCCCTTTTTTTTCTCATATATTATTATATATATATATATTTCTCTCGGAGACATAAAATTTCAGTTTACAAGGTTAAATAAAAGTAAAAATAAAAATAAAAATAACAATAACAATGAAAATAAAAAATATTTTTAAAAAAAATTTTTCTTTTTTTTATTTTCTAATTTTAAAGACGATAAAAAAAAATAATTATTGAACAAAACGGTATGAAAATTAGTTTAAATTAATATTTTCATAATTATTAAAAAAAACAATTATTATTTATTTATTGAAAATATATGGGCAATTATTATTATTAAAAAAAAATTAGTTCAAATTAATAGTTTCATAATTATTAAAAAAAACAATTATTAGTTATTTATTGAAAATATATGGGCAATTATTATTATTAAAAAAAATTAGTTTAAATTAATATTTTTATAATTGTTAAAAAAAGCAATTATTATTTTTTTTATTTATTTATTGAAAATATAAGGGCAATTATTGTTATTATTTTTATTATTTAATTTAATATAAAAATTTTTATACTTTTTTCGAATTTTCCTTTAATTAAAATAAAATTTTCTTTTTGTGAAATTTAATTTAAAGTTAAATTATATTATTTCAATTCAGTTTGATTAAAATATTGTGTAATTAAATGTAAGTGTATACCTTTAATTATACAATGTAAGTTAAATTACATTGAATCAAAGTGAACTATAAAATTAACTTAAATTTTAATTGAATTAAAAGTGGAATTTTCATTATTTTGATTAAAAAAAAAAAAATTTTTAATTAAAAATTTATTTCTAGAAAATTTAAATATTATTTTAGGTTCAATTTTGGGAATTTAAATTTTGTTTTTTATTTATTTTTTTGTTTCTTTTCAAACGGTTATTCGTTTCAGTTTGAAATTCTTTTTCGTTTTTTTTGTTTTTTTTTTATACGAACTTGGGCATAAAGCAAAATCTAAGCAAGAATCTCTTATTATCTCTCAAATTACAAAACACCAAAAAGGAAGTTTTGTGAGCGCGGCTTCAGACTCCAATTTAAGTTCATTTAAATCCAAAACTCTTTCGTGAATTATTATCGCACAGCTTCTCTTTTGCAATTTTGCCTTACTTTCCTCTCTCGAAAACCAGATTCGTGTGCTCCAAATTTGTCGATTGGTTTTCTTTTTTTTTTTTTTTTTGCTCTTCAAGGGAAAAAAAAGAATATTTTCTCCTTCGATTCGAAATTAGATTTTTTTTCTCTTTAAAATTGAATTTGTTTTCTCAATAATTTTTCAAATTCTGAAATAATGATTTTTCAGACTTTTTTTTATTATTTAATTTTTTAATTATTATTATTATTTATTATTATTATTATTTTTTATTTAATTCAAAAATATTTTTTTATCTTATTTTTTTTTAATAATTCATTTTTATTAAATTTATTTATTTTATTTATTTATTTATTTTATTAATTTATTTATTATTATTATTATTATTATTATTATTATTATTTTTTTATCTTATTTTTTTTAATAATTCATTTTTATTAAATTTATTTATTTTATTAATTTATTTATTTATTTTCGTAATCATTTTTCTAGTGAAATAATTTCTTAGATTTTTTTATTGATAATTATTTTTATTATATTTATTTATTATTGTAAAGTAATTCAATATTATTTTTGAATTTTTTTTAATCATTAGATTATTTTCTTTTTAAATTGAATTTGTTTTCGTAAAAATTTTCCTTGATTTTGAAATAAAATTTCTTCGATTTTTTTTATTATTTAATTTTTTAATTATTTATTATTATTATTATATTATTTAATTCAAAAATATTTTTTTATCTTATTTTTTAATTTTTTTTTAATCATCATTTTCATCGAATCAATTTTATTTTCGCAATAATTTCTCTAGTGAAATAATTTCTTAAATTTTTTTATTAATAATTTTATTAAATACAAATAATTTAATTAATAATTTAATAAATAATTTTATTTATTGTTGTAAAGTAATTCAAAATTATTTTATTATTTTTTATTTTAATCATAACTCACTTTTATCGAATCAATTTATTTTCGCAATAATTTTCCTAGTGAAATAATTTCTTAGATTTTTTTTTATTATTAATTATTTATTTTATATTTATTATTGTAAAGTAATTTAAAATTATTTTTTAATTTTTTTTTCAATAATAACTAATTTTTATCAAATAAAAAACTAAAAAATATGTATTTCCTCATTTTTTTTTTAAATTTCAAAAAAAAAATTATAGAAAAATTATTTTGAATAAATTTCAAGTATAGAATGTCGCTACAGTTGAAAAAAAAGAAATTTTTTGAAAATGATGAGATTGAATGTGTTATTAGTGGCAATCAGTCGAGAGGAGGAAATAAATAATAAACTGTAGAAAATGAGAATGAAGAGTAATTTTGTAATCGGCAAAGTGATTCAGCTTTTGAAATCAATATACAAAATATGCACTCTCTCGCGTCTATAGTCTAATGCTAGAGAGCACACACACACACACAAACACCGCAGATACCACTTTGATGTTGCGGCTCTCGCTCTCTTGCATTCCTTCTTTACAACGTGCTCGTTTCCTCGTTTTCATTCGGCCCTTTTTTTTTTTTTTTTTTTTTTTCTCTTTCTCTCGTTTTGCTGTGAATAGAATGCCCCGAAGCAATCGTGAACTTAGAAGGGTCGATGTGTATGTGCAAGTATACGCGAGAGATCGTGTACATAGTGTACAAGTTCGTGGGCACTTGTACCAGTTATAATGTCGATCGTAAACTTGTCTTATTACTCATCGCACTAATCTGTAGTGAAATTAGCTTTCTCATGTAAACCATCCCGAGGGGGACAATTTTTTTTCTTTTTTTTTTTTTTGTTATTTATTATTAATTTTTTTATTACATTTTCTTTTTGGATTTTGAATTTTAATTTTAATTTTCTGTAATTCGATTATTTTGTTTTATTTTATTTATTTATTCATATAAACGGGACAAACCCTTTTGTATAATAATGCCTCAATTTATTTTGGTAGAATTTTTATTTGTTCGAATTTTTTTTTTGAGAATTTCTATTAAACCCGATTTTCTATATTACAGAATTTTTATTTGTTCGAATTATTTTTTTGACAGAATTTCTATTAAACCGATTTTTTATATTAAAAACTTTTTATATAAACGAAAATTCACTTCAAAGAATTTCTAATTGTTCAAATTTTTATTTACTCAAATTTTCATTTGTGAAAATTTTTATTTGTTAGAATTTTCATTGGCTAGAAATTTGTAATTTTTTCAAATTTTCATTTGTCAGAATTTGTATTTGTTCGAATTTTCATTTGCAAGAAATTTGCATTTTTTCAAATTTTCATTTATCCGAATTTTTATTTATTCGAATTTTCATTTGTCCGAATTATTTCTTGAAAGAATTTTTATAAAACCGAGTTTTTTTTATTACAAAATTTTTTTATAACCGAAAATTCAATTCACAGAATTTCCAATTGTTCAAATTTTTATTTGTTCGAATTTTCATATGTCAGAATTTGTATTTGTTCGAATTTTCATTTGTGAAAATTTTTTTTTGTTCGAATTTTCAAGATTTGCAAGAAATTTTCATTTTTTTTAAATTTTCATTTATCCGAATTTTCATTTGTGAAAATTTTTTTTTGTTCGAATTTTCATTTGCAAGAAATTTTCATTTTTTCAAATTTTCATTTATCCGTATTTTCATTTGTCAGACTTTTTATTTATTCGAATTTTCATTTGTCAGAAATTTTTATTTGATCAAATTTTCATTTGTTAAATTTTTTATTTGTCCGAATTTTCTATTTTCTCAAATTTTTATTTGTCCGAATTATTTTTTTCTGATAAAATTTCCAAATTTTATATATATATGATAAAAATTTTTTATTTCATCGAAATTTAGAGATTATACAAAAAATACGAATAATTCTCGTTTTAATTAAAAAAAAAAAAAAAATTCTTTTAACGAAAAATTTTGACGATGTCGTTATTTCTCCTATGTTGGGAATCCAATAATTCTCTTCTTTCGATTTCTTGGAAATTCCCTTTTTTTTTTAGCTTCTTTTTCTATTTCGTTCGGATTTCTATTATATAGAAATTCAAGGTATTAAATTGAACTTTTTACACACTTTAGAATTTGTTTATTCGATTTCGATATATTATATTTTTTTTTCATGTAATATTTTATTTTCTTATTTGACGTCAGTGAAATTCACGTTTATATATATATATATATATATATATATATTTAATCACCGATTTAAAGGAAATTTTTTTTTTTTTTTATGCAAATTTTACTTTTTTTTACTGAAAACATTTTTTTTTTTTTTATTTGAAACAAAAAATATCCAGCTTTTTTTAAATTTTATTTTTTTTCTAAAGGATTAAAAATTGTTTGGAACAAAAAAAAAATTAGGAAAAAAATTTTATTATTTTCCACGTGGAGAAAAAAATTAGTTTTTTCTTTTGGTTTTTATTTTTATTTTTATTTTTAAAAAATGTTTATAACAAAAAAAATTGTAGAGCTAAAAATTTTATTATTTTTTACGCGTTGAAAAAAAATTGGGTTTTGGTTTTTATTTTTATTTTTCAAAAAGTTTTATAACAAAAAAAATTGTATTATTTTCCGCGTAAAAAATTTTTTTATTTTTTTTAACCTTTTTGATTAAAAATTTTTAAACAAAAAAAATTGTAGGCCAAAAATTGTATTATGTTTTGCGTGAAAAAAAATTTTTTTTTTTTCCATAATCGTTAACGTTGTGAAATTTTAATTTTTTGTTTTATTCTTTATATTAAAAAAAAAAAAAAAATGTCGAATAACTTTCTCGCTTTATTGGATAGGAAAAAAGTTAATTTTTTTTTTTTTTTTATTTTTTCATAATATTTTTAAATAAATTTTCCAGAATGAATTTTTGATATATTTATTTTTCACTTCGATGCATTTTGCTGAATTTCAAGTATATAACTTGTATTATAATCGAAGTTTTCAATCACCAAAAAGCTCACTCTCGTATTTGAAGTGTGTATATATATATATATATAAAGCTCGAATTATGAAAGTGCAGTTTATATAGAAAAAAAAGTGTGAAAAGAGGATCTCTATTAAATATTATTATAAAAATTCATCCTGAATTTTCGAGACTCAATTTCCCAAGCATATACAATATTCGCCACGTAAATTTTTTTTTTTTATATAATCTAAATTGAGTTAGAAATTTATATTCCAAGTCGTAAAAAAATCAGATTTAAAAGGTACGTGCACAAAATAGAGTCAAGTATATATATGTATAAAATTGTGGAAAAAATATTCCTCATAAAGTGAGACACAGGGGAAATAGTAAAGAATCAGTAAAATAGATATATAAATCCTTTGGGGGAAACGAGATGTAATAATAGACAAATCTTTTATTTGTTATTGTCTAAAAAGAAAAAAATCGTTTCAATTTCGTTTTTATGCTTATATTTTTTGGCAAATAAAAATATCAAATTTTTTTTAAAAGAGTTGAAAAAATATTTTAAGAACATTAAAATTTTAGAAGATCCTGGGATGAAGGAAGAGACATTTTTCCCTAGTGACTTTTTTTTTCTTTTTTTCTCTCTCAACCTCCATCGATTCCGGAGTCTTTTTATTTTCCTTCAACTTTTTCGTTTTATTTGGCATCTTGGTAGTTTCTCCATTTTTCATTACAGTCTGTCGTTCTAACTTCCTTTTCTTCCACCGGATGTCTCTCCTTTTTTTTTCATTTTCATTCATGTTGAAAAAAATTTTTTTTTTTTTTTGTATATTTTCCACCATTTTCAAAGAATTTATTTTTTTCCGCAAACCTAAAAAAAATTAATAATGAATATATATATATATACAAAATTTAAAGAATAAAATATAAAATTACAAAAACAAAAATAAGAACAACAATAATAATTATTATAATAATAATAACAGAAAGTAAAAAAATAATAAATAATAATATAATAGAAAGTAAAAAAAAATAATAAATAATAATAATATAATAGAAAGTAAAAAAAAAAAAAAAATAATAATAATAATTATATAATTAGTTTTGTAAAGTAAATAAATAATAATCCGAAAGAAAAACAATTTCAGTTTTGCACTCGGCAGAATAGTAATAATTACATAATAATATGAAAATAATAATTATTATTATTTTGTAAAATAAACAAATAAATAATAATTAAAAACAAATAATAATAAAAAAAATAAAAAAAAATTGTTGAAAAATATTGACACTATTGAAAAATGTCAATCTTTGTTTTTTTTTTTTAAATATATCAACATAGAGAATATATTTTTACAAAATCAAGGTAGATTTCTTTTCTGAGGTACTATCGATTCCATTTTAAGCTTCTGCGTCTTTTCTCTCCAAGATTTTTCTCAAGTTTTTTTGTTATATTCTTTTTGCAAACTCTTCTGGCCTATAAGTATATACATATATATATATACTCATACATACAATGTGTTTGTACTGTGTGTATCTTTTGCGATCACTGAAACTGAAACAGAAATTGAGAAAATTGTTTGTTGCGTTACGCTTGACGATTCTGGGCTCTTGTCGTATGCATTTTTTTAAAATATACATTTTATCATCAGTTTTCTATTTTATTTTTTATTTAAAAAATTTTTTTAATTTAATTTTTAAATTTTTTTAATTTTATTTATTTTAATTTCAATACTTTAAATTGTTTAAATTTTGAAAATTTTATTTATTATTTTAATTTCAATACTTTAAATTGTTTAAATTAATTTTTAAAATTTTATTTATTATTTTAATTTCAATAATTTAAATTGTTTAGGTAAATTAATTTACAAAAATTTTATTTATTATTATTTTAATTTCAATTTTTTAATTTGTTTAAATTTTATTTATTTTATTTTTTAGTATTTTTTTTTGAACCTTAATTTTATTATAAAAATTTTTTCAAATTTTATTTTTATTACTTTTTTTTTAACTGAATGACTTTTCAAGATATTTTGCTTATTTATTTATACGATTCTGAAATCCACAACGTTAAAAATAATAAGCGATTGGAAAAGAAATTTTCTTTTCTAAGACGGAAAATTATAGAAAAAAATTTATCTAAAAAAAAATTTGAACGTTTATAAGGAACGAATATATTTATTTGCGGTATATACAAATTTTTTTTTTTTGAAAATTATTACAAAAATGGAAAATAAATAAATACATTAAACATGTAATAATTAATTTATTTTTGCATGTGAAAAAAAATATTTTATAATAAAATTTGAAGTTAAAAAATTATCAAATAAATTTTTTGTTCACAATTTTTTTTTTTTTACATTTTTTTTTATTTCTATTAAAAACAATATTTTTAAAAATATTTAGATTTTAAATTTAGATTAAAAATATTTAAAACAATAAAAAAATATTTAAAACAAAAAAATATTTAAAGTAAAAAAATATTTTAAAAAAATATTAACAATACAAAAAAAATTTTTTTTTTTTTTTGAAATATTTAAAAAGATTTTTTTTTTAAACAAATTTTTAAAAATACCTATAACAATTGGAATGAAATTTTTGTTTTAATGTCAAATTAAAATGCCTCCTTGGTTGTCGTCAGTAATCCGGGATCAAGAACCGCTTTATATTTTATAAGAATCCATTGAAGTGAACATCTCAGAAATAGCAAAGACGGGATATTTCCAGAATGTCACAATACCACATAAAATAATAATAATAATATTAATGAATACATCTTCTTTAATTTCAATCCATGAATCTATCGAATAAGTTTTATTATATATTAAATCTGTTTTTCGATATTCGTTTTTAGTTTAAAAACTTTTTTTTTATCTTCCCCCAGAAAAATAGTATTCAATCTTTATTATTTATTATTTTATCAGTGAATTTTTTTCAGATTTTATTTTTATTATTTTTTCTCGTTTTATCATTTTTTTCTTGGTTTAGTTTTTTTTCCTCTTCTTTATAATTTCAATCCACAAAATCCATGGAATTATAATATTAAATCGTATTTTTTTCTTTTTTGTTTAAAAAAATAATATATAGGTATATAAATATAATATAAATAATAAATAATAATAATAAATGATAATAATAATAATAATAATGATAATAAATAATAATAATAATAAATTAAATAATATAAATAAATATAAAAATCCAATCAGTTTGTATATTATTTTTTATTGTTTTATATTAGTGAATTTTTTTTATTTATAGATTTTATTTTTGTCTTTTTCTCCGTTTCTTCATTTTTTTTTTTTTTTTGGTTTTCAAAGAATTAATTAATTTTTTTCCGCAAACCTAAAAAAAATTAATAATGAATATTATATACAAAATTTAAAGAATAAAATATAAAATTACAAAAACAAAAATAATAATAAAATAAAAATAAAATAAAAAATAATATATATAGGTATATAAATATAATATAAATAATAAATAATAATAAATAATAATAATTAATTAAATAATATAAATAAATATAAAAATCCAATCAGTTTGTATATTATTTTTTATTGTTTTATATTAGTGAATTTTTTTCATTTATAGATTTTATTTTTGTCTTTTTCTCCGTTTCTTCATTTTTTTTTTTTTTTTTTGGTCTGGTTTTATTTTTCATCTTTATATTGCAATTTAAAACAATCTTAATTGCACCTCCTTCAAGGACTTGTTTTTTCCTCTCTTACGCACTTGCTTTGTGCGGAGAAAGTATACATATATATATATATATATATATAACGTCATCGTTGGTAAATCAACTCCACGTGGGAAATTGCTGTAACAATTCGCAGAGGTAGACTTTATATATATATATATATATATATATATAGAAAATGAGAGCGAGAGAGAGAGAGAGAAATATGAGATAGAAAAAAGGAGACAAGTGAATGTGAGATGAAGAGATAAAACCACGTTGAAAACTGATATAATAATAAAATGATGATTAGACTCAAAAAAATTCTCTTTTAGAATTAATTTTGAATGATTTTGTATATTGTCGCATTTTTTTTTTTTGAATTTAAATAATGAAGTTATAATACACTTTCAAAAAATGGAATTAAAGGAGAGAAAGAAAATAAGAAAGAGTAAAATACATAAATTCGCGATACTCAAGAACCGGTTCTCTCTCGTGACTTTATATATACCGTAAACGCATTCTTTGCCTCTTTCAAGCGACGTATTCATCTAGCACTTTTATTTATTTATTTATTCCCCCTTTTTTTTTAATCGTCCTTTGAATATATCGAAAAGTACTTTTTTTTATTGTTTAGTTTAATTTTTCAATAGTAATTGAATTTTTATTTTATGTACCATTTCAGGAGAGTTTTTTTTTTTTTTTGATTACTTTTAGTTATTTTACAAATTTAAATGATACTTTATTTATTATCTATTTTATTATTTAAACGTTTTTTTAATAATGATAATTTAGAAATTGTTTTTTGTTTTGTTTTCATCAGCTGTTATTGCTGCGCGCGACGATTCTTAAATTTTAAGCCGGGTAATACCAACATAATTCGAAAAAGTGAGGTTATGTCCATCATATTTTGTTCTCGTATTATGTTGGTATTACCGACTCGAAATTAAGAATCGTCGCGCGCAGCAATAACAGCTGATGAAAAAAAAAAAGAAAATAAAAATACAAAACTAAAATAAAATATCAAAATAAAATTTTTAAAAATAATTTCTTTTAGGAAAATTAAGACGAAGTGCTTTTAATTTTCTTTTTGAATTTTAGCAATGGGAAAATAAATATTTTCAACTTTAAGGTGATGAGATTCAAATTAATTTCGTGTGGAAAAAATCCCAAATTAAAAATAATTTAATATTAATTTTTTCTCATCTTTTCTTTTTGTGTCACATTTATTGTTCGTTTGGTCTTTTTTTTCATTTCTTTTTTTTTATTCGATTGTTTCATTTATTTTTATTTGATCGTATCGGGGGGTTTTTTTTTTTTTTTTTTTTTTTATTTCTTTGAAAGCAATCCTCTCTAGTCGAAACTAAATTCAAACAATTTTCATTCGGACATTCGCGATTCCTTTATTAGAGATTTGCTAAATAAAAAAAAAAACAAACAAAATAATTTAATACTTCCTTTTATAGATTTTTTTTTTTTTTTTTTTTTTGATTCACGAACAATTAAATACAAATTGTATAAAGAAAATGCTTTCAAAATTAAAATATTCTAATCATGTATAATAAAAAAAAAAAATGTTTTGTTAGCTTTTTCTCTGATATCATGAAATATTTATAAGTTTTCTATTGAATATTCTGAATGTCCTTGAGGCGAATTAGAGTTTTGATATCTCTATTATTTTTTTTGGTCTTAAATTTTTCGAATTCTATTAAAAGTTGATTCACACAGGAAATGTTCATTCGTTTACAATTTTGTATCTCTCTCTCTCTCTTTCTTTCTCTTTCTCCTGGGAACGATATTAGATTTCTTAAATCACATATATATGTCTTATGGAAAAAAAAGAGTTGAAAAAAATTTCTTTTTATTTGCCTTGACTTATACTTTTTGTTGTATATATATATATATATATATATATATATATATATATATATATATATATATTTGTATAAAAGAGAGCCTTTTATGATGCGCCTTTTTCCCCCGATTCCTTTTTGCATTTTGCAATATCACGAAAGAAAACAAAAGCACTTGAGCGCATATATATATATATATATATATAGAATAAGAAAATAGTTTGACTATCCTCGCACTTTTCCTTCCTGAGGATTTCCGAGAAAGTTATATAAAACGAATTACATTCTTAACAACGATGACTTTCAATTTGAAATTTAAATTCTTTTTCAATTTAACGGAAATTTAACTTCTATTCTTTTTTTTTTTTTTTTTTTAATGCTCAAAGAATAAATATAGAGATGATTCGCGCAATTATATCCGATATATTATGCATTCAATATGTTGATTTAATTTTAACACTCCAATTTTTATTGATTTTATTAAATTATTTTTTCTATTTTGAACGAATTAAAATTTTAAAAAACGATTTAAATTATCTTTTTTTTTCAGTTTTCTATATTAAGATAATTAATTAAATAATTTAGTAATTTATTTATACATTTTGCCGAGGACCGCTCGCGCATGATTATTCCATAAAAATAATTTTTGTTATTTTCAATTTAAAGAATTTTTTTATTAGATTATAATTATATTTTTTAGACGAATTATTTTCGAATTAATTATTTTTTTCGAATAAGCCTTTAACGGAATTTCTTTTTTAATAAATTAATAAATTAATAAATTAATTAATTGATTTTTATTTAACAAAATTTTTAGATTAACTTATGCGGCAGAATTTTTATTTCACATAATTTCAATTTACCCAAGTTTTTTTATTTAAAAGAATTTTAATTTAGGAGAATTTTATCTGATTTGAATTTTTAAATGACAGAAATACCAATTCACTGAATTTTAATTTGTTCAAAATTAAATTTGAATTTTTGAATTTTTGAATTTTGAATTTGAATTTTTCGTGAATTTCG